CTACGACGACGACTACTGCTACTGCCCTGCTACTCCTACTCCTACCACGACGACATCTCTGTGCAGCCGAAGGATGTGCCGTACAAAGTTCTCAACTTCCTTGGGGCCCAGATCAACTACGGTGGGCGCGTCACAGATGACAAAGACAAGCTGCTGATCTCCACGTTCTGCTGGCCGAATTTGGTTTAATGACTTCCGTCGCGTGTGCTATCAGCCTGAGAAGCTTGCATCATCAAGACAAGCAAATTAGAGCCATCCTGCACTCAGACGTCATCATCATCATCATGTCATGTCATCTTTACTGGTTTCCCCATCTGTTCCTCTCAGTCACCACTCCGCCGATGAGCATCATAACCACCGACATCATCAGCATCATCGTCCTACTCCGAGCTGCATTTACCTAGATGTTGACTCTTTTTTGCATGACTCCAATGTAGCGTTCATGGCAGGATCCTGGCTACGTACATATGTCCAGAAGCGGTGAACGGAATGGACCAATACAAGTGCCCCCCCAACTTGCCATGTTGAGAGCGATGACTGAAGCTCTGTGGGCATGCAAGCCGCGTTGGGCATGCATCACTGTTTACGCCGGGTTGACTTACGGCTTTCCGCTGAGTCTGGCTGATGGCAACTGATTTGCCATAGCTCTCGTCACTGCTTCCTTGCCACGTTTCTAATGCGACTATAAATCCTGTGTCGCGCTGGTCGCATTGAAACTGTGCCACCATCGTAACACTTCGACACTAGGGTGGCATGCGCCAAACTGCAGTTCCGAAGTCCAGGTACTCTGCCAGTGGCCTCTACTACGCCCCTCCCTGCGAGACCGTTGAGGACGCACACTAACGCACTGATCATGCACGTGATCAATGAACAGACCCTGATTCTTCCTACTGCTCGCCAACACTTCGCAGGAAGTCTGAGAACTCACACCAGTCTTCGGTTCAAGCCATGTGCAGAGAGAGATGGGCAGCAAGACCAAAACAAACCACGGCACCGCACCATGATCTAGGACGAGCTATACACACTTTACCTTGGACCCTCTCAGATCATACAGTCAGAAGTGATGACCTCGCACGCTTCGTGATAGCTCTCCTGCAGGACTTCATCGAATACATCCGGAGCTTGCCGCGTGGAGCTCGCTATTGCTCGCTCGATAAGCTCTTCAGTAATATTGCTTCCTCCTGTGAATCATTGACTGAAGATTCTGGAATGGTCGGCCAGTGCAGTCATGATGGTGTGTTTTGTGCCCTGTGGCTGGTCAGGAAGGTATGAGCATTGATCACCTACAATTGCTGCAAAATCTGTTTTCCCCATGCTTCGCCACCAGCATCAGCTTTGTCCTCGCCAGTGATGTGTAATTTGCTTTCCTCGTTGTTTCCTGCGGCTGTAACAAAAGTCGCCGGCAGCCAGATCAACAACAACAACATGTTAGCTGCGAATACATCCAGATCAGCATCAGCCCCATTAATCGGCACCAGCTCGTTGCAGCAAAAACATCCTATGGTTGCTGTTTTTCCAGTATCACGGCGCGCAGAATGCTTGGTTCTTTCTGTTTTTGGCTTAGCCTCCTTAATTACTTAATTATTTATAACAGATCCGGGAAGTGACTCATGTGTGGTTTACAAATCTGTTCGGAATCGTTTGGATAGCTGTTCAGGTTTTATATCAATTCCCACTGAATTGTGGGAGCCCTCCCCGAAACCCTCACTAGCCAGACTCATCCATCTGTAGGTCTCCCGGCTGCACCAGTCCCCAACCGCGAGCAGTGCCAGAAGTTCTGACAAGCACCTCGAAGTCGCGAGGCTCTACCCGATGCCCGAAGCCTTTGGCCTTCATGACAACTGTCGCTTGGTGGCAGTTGAAGACTAATCGTGGCGGTAGTGATGATGACGGCGATGAGGATAATGACTGGTTTGATGATGCGGTTCGTACTGACGGCGGTGATCAGGATATTTCTGCGTTTGATTGGAAGCTGGAGTGCAGCGACGATGTTGGTGCTGGTGTTTATGCAGAAGCTTTCCACGGCTTGGATGCCTATCCGAAACAGATGTTGCAGGCAGGGCTTGCTTCAGTATGAGCCACGATTCAAGCTGGTGCAAGTCGCGTCGCATTCTTTGAAGCAACTCCCATGCAGTACAGACCCAGAGTTGTGCTCAGCTGCATTTTTTGTCACGACGAAGTTCTGGACGGAGCTATGGCCAGCCTCAATCTGTATGTGTTTATTGCTGATGCTTTGCTTGAGTTCGAGGCAATATCACCTGTGCGCAGGATGAGGCCGAGAGTTGACCTGCTTTGTCCACGCTTCAAGATGACTGCCCTTTGCAATCAAAAGATCCCAGCCGCTGTTTCCCCGCAGGCGTTCAAGCTACTGGTGGGTATGCAGAGCATGGTCTCTGCCGGAGGGGGTGGCGGAGATGGCAAGTCCGCAGATGATGTCTCGAGCTCAGGGTGGTACCAGCGTAACTATTGCTGTCAAACCAAATATCTTGTTGCTTGTTTAGCGCTGAGCTGGCTGCTGATGAGGACGATGATGACCATACCATGCCGTTCATGATGTTGACTCCGCACATGATGGTCATGGCGATGATGGTGATGTTGGCGACCCTGTCGATGATTATTGCCAGCGCTGTCATTCTCAGTGTGAGCCCTATGCAGATGGTCTCATGAAGGTCTCACTGGACGGTGTGTTGCCTTTGTCCCAAGTTCCTGCTTGTCGGCGATTCTGGGCATGCATTCTTGTGCAGGTCGCCGCTTCGGGCCCAAACCCACAAGTCTTAGATATTCTGTGTAACGCATTCATGCGTGTAGGTACAAACGGTGGCGATCGACCGAAGCTATGGGTTAGCTTGCCGTTTGTACTCCCTCCCGCAGATCCCGCAGCAAGCTTCGATTGAGGGTGGGGGGGGCAGTGTGCAGAAATGTTTGCCCAGGTCATGGATGCAACTGCAGCATCCATCCAGGACAAGCTGCCAAAACCCTTCCCGTGCCGCGGCGGCCGTGCAAGACTGCTTCGGACATGTGGATCGGATGTGTCTGTTTGGATTGAGGGAGACGGAGAGAGCGAGCGAGAGAAAGAGAGAGAGAAAAACAAAAAAAAGAGGGAGTGTGGCTTTCAAGGTGCCAGTGGGAAACCCCATAGAGTGCTGTTCTTGCCATGCTGTTTGTGGGTGTTTCCCTTAGTTTGCTCCAGGGGCTGTTACGGCGAATTTACCGCGGCAGCTTTCTTTTTCTATCAGCAGCGTTCCATTTCGGGGGCGCCTGGAGCCCGGGAGTGGGGGGTCGCTCCTCCACTCAGTACCCCTGCGAAACAGAAGAGAAAGAGAGGGAGAGAGGGTCCCGGCCCTTACCAAGTGCTTTTCCAGCATGCCCAGAGTCAAGGTAGGCGAACGGAATAGCAGTTCAGTGCTGAACAACCGTTTTTGTCAAGAGGGGGATGCTGTAGCTCCGAGTCCGTGGCAGCATTCGGGCAGCCAAGCGCCTTGGGGAAAATCCCTGACAATTTGCAGAAAATTAGACCCTGTAGGGACCAGCAGCTGCTCGGACGCATGCCTTTGCAGGGGGGCCTTGGCCAGCCCCTCTCCTCAAGCTTGGCAGAAAGACAGAGAGAGAGAGAGAGAGAGAGAGAGAGTGAGAGCCATTTTGGCTCAAGTACTGCACCATTGTTTGGAGGTCTGTGACACATCCTGCATTGGGGAGGAGGCGCGGGGTTGACCCGAGGTTGTGCCCTCGGGGGAGCTCCCGTCGCTTCCTCCAGCGGTGCTTGAGTCACATATCCGCCGCCCTTCTCCTCAAGTGGCCCTCCTTGGTAGGGCCCCTTCGCGCCGCCATTGCTGTCCATCGAGGGGGAAAGGAACACTGCACTTCCTCGTCCCCGCTCCTGCCAACGAGATAGGTGTGCAACGGTCCCGGGGGGCAACTCCGCGCTCATCCTTGAGGCTTTTAACGGCAGCGAGCTCCGCGTGATTGGCGAGCCTACTCAACTCTTTTGACCGGGGGGCGCTGCACGACTACCTCTA